AGATACAACATCAATGCATACATTTGACTAAGCTCATTCAACATGCACTCGCAAAAACCTCACTTCTTCCTTTTCGCGTCTTTCTTTTTCGGGAGAAAGTCGGTACCCTCCACAAAAATGACGAAATTTTTTTGTTTCTTTTCTGCATTTCGAGTCAAGCACATCACAATACAATGCACACACGAGTTATTTACATTAAATCATATCGTGTCATATCACATCAAGTGGAGTCTTGCACCTTGAGTCATGTTGATTCGTATTTGTCAAAACACATTAAGTCGAGTTCACACAATGAGTTGAATAGCACCAAGCATTAGGTCAACCCTAATAAAAACATGAGCAAAGTCCTATAGTCCAAAATATAGATGTAGGTACGTTAAGTCCAAAGCCGAACGAGCAGAAAAAGCTCTTACTTAGGTTCAAGCACTTTGCAATATAAACCTCACAGCACGATGCACCCCAACGCAGCACAATGCACATTGGCGTAGCACGATGCTCCCTGACGCAACACGATGTTACCTGACGCAGCGCGATATACAATGACGCAATGCGATAGACCTGTAGCTACGCGATAGACTGGTCAATGTGCGATGGCTCTGATTTGCCCGCGTCAGCCTCCGATGGTCTCACAAATTGGATTGGTTGGTCTGTGACTAATCCATTTGAGTCTCTTGATGAGTATTTGATCTTTTTGAACAATTGATAGATATTTGATTGGTAATCGGCTCGATTACAGTCTTGATTGATCAGCCTGATGACGGGCATACTTTGATTACATATTGAATGAGCACTTTTGATTAGTAGCCAGCTCGATTACAACTTGATTAATGATCGGCTTGATGACGATCAAAATGAAACAGATTTAAAAATTGAATAAGAATATTTGAATAGTGATTGATTATAATCATAAAGAATTCTTAGGATGGAAGATTTCTACAAAACAATTTAAAGACTGTAAGAATCTTATATATGGTTCTTAAGATAAATTTTCCTAAGATGGAAAGGTCAATTACTTCTAGGAGTAAAGAAGATTTAAAGACTTAAGATGAAGAAGTCTTTAACAGGAGGCTCTAAGATTAAAAGGGTCTCACGCCCAGATTTGAAAAGACAGTTTGAGATGAAGTGACCTTTGATAGCTTTCCCTATGATTGAGGAGGTTATCACTTGATTTGAGAAGATAGCACAAGATGGGCGATCTTCGACATCTTTCACTAAGATTGTGGAAGTTGTCACCAAGAATTGAGAAGATATCACGAGATGAGCGGTCTTCGACAATGTTCGTTATGATTGTGGAAGTCGTCACCAAGATTTCAGAAGAGCGGTTTGTGATAAGGCGGTCTTCGACGACATTTGATATGATTGTGAAGGTTGTCACTATGATTCAAATAAAATAGCTCGTGATGTAGTAGCAGATATTCGATAATGTTCCCTAGGATAAGGAAGATTGTCACTACAACAAAATTGAGTATCGTTACAAGAAGAATTGTCTTCAACAATGTTCCCTAGAATGTGGAGGGTTGTCACAACAACTGAAGATGACTACAATCAGAGTTACCTTCGACGACGAAAGGTTGTCATAAAAAAGGGAGATGGCTACAAGCAGAGTTATCTTCGATGATGTTCCCTAGCTTGCGGAAGATGGTCATAAAAACTGCAGAAAATCGCTACAAGTGGAGCAACCTTCCATGGTGTTCCCTAGCTTGTGGAGGATTGTCACAACAAAAAGATTAAAGACAACTACAAGTGGAGCGATTTTCGGCGATATCCCCTAGCTTGAGGAAGGTCGTCACAAATGCAACAAAATTTGATATTCCAGAGACGTGTACTCGACGGTGCAAGATACACATTTCTTAACTATCTTATATGCTTAACTAACACTAGTTTGCAGATATCGGCGTTACAAAAATGATTAAGGATTGCAGAACGTTCTGAATCATTCTCCGTCCCTATCGCTACTTTGATTTTTGTTTTTGAAACTTACGTTTCTCCAAACTCAGTCAAAGTGGGGGCTTTTGTACACACCTGATTGTGTTTCCCCAAAAACCAAACCCAGTAATGAATATATTTCACGTCATTGATTATCAAACGAAGTGAAATGTGAAAGAGCCTCGTGATGCAATCGTTTTAATAAAAAAATCTTTTTTTTTTGTTTTCCAAAAAACAAATTCGTACCTTATTTATGAAAAATGTCCAATCCAATATAAATTAGTCCATGATATAGGTCCAATAATAGTATAGTTGGATGGGGCTCGAAAAGAACTTTCCGACGATGTATTATAACCCCAATTCCGATGAATAATGAGGAAGTTATGGCCCAAATATTAAATTAGATATTAAATGAGTTTTTATGGGTGATCTAATAATCAAGTGGAGGGTCCATTAATAATCATTCCTAAAGTCATTAGGAATTACTTTAACTTTCTAGAATAATCTATAAGGTTATTTAATGTTCTAACGAAATTAGGATTAATAATAATATTTTATTTGATTTTGAAAAGACAAAGGATTTTATTTGGAATAAAACAAGTGTTTTAAGGATTAAATTTGATTTAATAAAAGATAAGTACGGACTCTACTTAGCCAAATTCAATTGGAAGAAGGATTCCGTACGAGTTTTATCGTACAGCATCCATCGTGTCATGATAAGGTCCATCGCGCCGCGATGGCTCTGTCGCGTCGCGATGACGTTGTTGCGTTGCGACAGAACTAGTTTTACTACGAGTCGAATTTTGACTCTTTTCTATCGTTTACGATCGATTTTTTTCTTTGTAAATAGGGTCGTGTTTCCCCGTTTTCAATCGTCAACAATTATCAACTATCATCTTTCTATTCTCTCTCTCTAAAAGATAAAAGCTTATTCTTTCTTTTTCCCTCTTTCTAAGAATTGCCTTTTCAAACACCATTCGTCCATCACGAGACTTAGACACACATAGCCAAGCTCGAAGTTGTCTTCGCCCTAGATGTGAAGGGTTGATAACTTCTGAGGGTTTGGTCCTTAATCTGTATTTCAATTATTTAAATTAATTATTTGATTTAATATTTTATTGAAGTTACTAACGTGTGTATTATTTTGATAGAAAGAGATATAAGGAAACAAAGTAAGTTGTTTTATTGCTATATTTTGTAGAAAGTATGCTTATATTATTTTAATTTCTAGTATAATGTTAGGATGTTATTTATTGCTTTCTAGTATCATGCTCAGATTGCTTCCTATTTCTTCTTTCATGTTAGTATCATGTTAAGGCTAAAGTTTTAATTTTTATTGATTAGTGACATGCTAATATTTGTTATTAATCATGTCATTAATTAGTATCACGCCTAGGATCTAGCTAATATTATTATGCTTTGATGAGGATATTGATATTATGATGATTATGTTTGTTGTGTCTGTCAAGCAATATTATTGTGTAACTTGATGTACATTATTGTTATTGCTTGATCACGCCCTCTCTTGCGGGTTTAAAGGGGATTTGTATTTGAAACCACGCTTAATAAGATAATTAATAATTTTTTTTAGGCTTATGTGATTTTAATTCAAGTGATCGCCAATAATAGATTTATTTGTGAATTAATAATCAACCAGAATATATCAAACAGGTTTAAGATTAATATATTGATTGTATGTTAATCAGAGTGCGCACATGAATATGAGAAGAATAAAGTAGAGGCCTATTTAGGACAGGTTTAATCTCCTTTAGGTTGGATTTGTACCTTCATCCCCGAATATCTAGTCATGGTTCAGTACCACTATGGACTTAGAAATCTCATGGATCGTGAAGGAATGTAACCTTCACCCTGTGAACGGTTTACAAGTTCCTAAAAATAATTATTGGCGACTCTTTTGCTCTATCTTCCTTCTCTTTGGACGCCACCATATTTAAGTGTATGATCACAGTGGGGTTCAAGTGTAGGATATGATGCTTGAAATATTCCCTACAAGTGGAAAGGTTACTTTCGGGATGGTTGGAGGATATTCCGAGTTAGTGAGGATAGTTTAATTTCGTGATTCGGGATGTTGGTGTTTGGATTAGAAATGGTGGTTCTGGGGTTGGAGGGTGGTTTAGGCATAGTGGAGGCAATTTTAAGCAAGTTGTGTTGGTTTTGGGGATAGAAGTGTTGGTTCCAGGAGTGTATCAAGGTGGTTCAGTGGTGGAAATTTAGTAAAGGTAGTATTTTACAACATTTTACCATTAAATGGGTAGTTTCTTACAATATTATTTTACCTTTATTAAGTAATTTCCTACAACATTTTTTTTAATAGGTAATTTTTTTACAAAATTTAGGTTATATAAGGTAATTTCTGACAAAATTGATGGTGTATAATACATTTTCCTGGGACCTATGGGCTATGGGCCCACCACGCTTTCGCTGCTTTATGTGTAGGACGGTTTACTCAAATGTGTGACCTCGCGATTGTGGTCCCTTGCGTCAAAAGTCCTCCTGATATGGTGATAGGGGCAGTGTAAGATAGTTTCACTAGAGGGGAGGTCATGAGTTATGTGGTCCTTGGTCTAAAGAGAGGTTTGTAAGGCTAGTTCATCCCAAGTCCCACATGGAAGCTAAGGAGTGAGGAAAATGTTTTATACTCTATAAAAAATGTCCTAATATTTATTTTTAGTATTAAGGAGTTTATGCTATGAGCCTATGACTAGCTTAGAAGGGAAAAAATCATACGACTTCGTTAACTAGAATCAAATTAAAGGAGTAAACAATTAAGGAAACGTACTCTAAAATAATTTCCTTACAAAAATCTCTAAAATAATTTGCTGCAAATTACAACATGAAAGCTCAACCGTACAAGATTTTTACAATAACTAAGAATTAACAAAACAAAGAGGATCAATTGAAAATTTCTATATAGCTATTACGTTACAACAAAATTTTCAAATATCAACGCGACAAGTCGACAACACCCAACAACATACAATGGTAACACCACGTCACCAATATTATTATTGTCGCGTACTATATACAACATCGGAAATTATTAGTATACCTACCTAATAGTAGTGATGATACCAAAGAGGCCGAAACCAATGAGAACCAACAGAAGAATGATAGGAGATCATGACCAAGAGCAAAACCACGACCAAAGCAACACCCCAAGGGGAACCTCCAACACGGTGGAACGAGTCGTGCTCGGGTTTAGGAATTCGAACCCAATACCAGCCCTTGGAAGACCCGGAGTCGCTAGAATTGTAGTTGGTACGCATCATGAAGATGAGCAAGGCAGGGAGAGCAAGAAGAATAAGCTTCAAACTAAAGGAAGCGCGATGAAGTGACTCTTTGTAAGGGAAGTAAGTAGACAAGTAAAGGTAAAATACAACAACACCAAATAAAGCAAGTAAAGCCAAAGGAGGAGAGTTTAAGGAAGACATGGTTCGATTTCTCCAACTTCGTTTTAATTCTACACTACTACTAGTACTACCTTTATCATTCTCTAATTTTAACTCTCCTTCCATTTTTGTAACTTTTTTTTTTTTGGGTTCTTTTTTTGTGGTTTGATTTGATAGTGGAAAAAAGTGAAGGGAAAAAAGTATATGCACTGGCAAATTAAAGTTCATATACTTGCATTGTGTTAAATATTCGAAGGTTAGCTTTTATTTGGTATAAATGCTGAAAAAAAGAAGGTTTGATTCTATCCTTCAACCGCTTGGGAATTTTTGGACTCATGTATGGCTCACAGCTTGTAGAAGAATTGATGCCTTACGCAACTTTTTTTGTTTTTTTTTTTTTATATATATAAATTGAGTTCTATGTTTTGGGTCCTTATCTTCGTTATACTTTTAATTCAACATACATGTAAATTGGCTTGGTAAATAACCCAACTCATATTCATGCAGTGTATTTTTGTTTATTTGGGTCTTGTTAGTGATGACACAGCAGAGTGTGCCACGTCAGATGATGAGTATGCAGAAGGTTGTTAGAAGAATTCTGTTATAACATAATCCTAGCTGATGTAATAATCAGTTAAGAAAAGGTTGTTATAACAACTTGTACTATATATAGCTGTACTTACTCTACATCTCATTATTTTCTTGATCAATAAGATTTCCCTCTTCTTCTCTCTAAATTCTCTCTCAATTAGACTTAGCCTTATTGTTCTTCACTATATTTCAATATGGTATCAGAGCAGGAAACATGAAGATTCTTCGATTCTATGATATATTACAGTGAATAATAGTAAGTTTTTTATCTTAATTTTTCCGCAAATTTTGTTAGATTCTTGTTTGTTGATCAAAATAGATCTTCAGCAACTGTTATTCTACAATTCTTCGTCATTTCCGGATTCAAATTTCTTCGGATTTTATTGAAATCTTGAGACTTTGATCGAATTTTTGATAGTATCATTGTTTGAAGTATTCAAATTAGTCTGCATTTCAAATTTCAAGTTCAAATTTCTTGATTAAAATGGCAGCAACCTCGTTTATACCAGTAACATCTGATCCTACTTCACCCTATACTATTATATCAATCCTTCTGAAAATACTTCATTGCCGATTGTTTCTGAGAAATTTTCTGGAGAAGCTTATGGTGAATGGAAGAGAAGTATGATGATAGCCTTGGCTACGAAGAATAAGCTAGGGTTTGTTGATGGAAACTTGCCTAAACCTCCTGAATCTGATCCTAATTGTGCAGCCTGGAAATGTTGTGATGCTATAATCATATCATACATTTTGAGATCTCTTGACAGTTCTATTGCTAGGAGTGTATTGTTCTTGACTACTTCTCAGGAAATCTAGAAAGATTTAGAAGAGAGGTTTTCTCGGACTTCTGGACCTCAGTTGTATACTTTGCAGCAGTCTTTGACAGATCTGAAACAGGGATCAGATACACCTATTACAGAGTTTTTTACTCAAATCAAAGCTATTTGGGATCAAATTAATCAGATGAATCCTCTACCTTCTTGTACAAGTGCTGGATGTACTTGTACTCAGGTTTTCTTGAAGCAGCAGCAGGAGGAAAGGTTGGTGCAATTTCTGATGAAACTTGATAATAAGTTTACTGTTGTTCGTACAAACATCTTGATGATGCAGCCCTTGCCAACAATTTCTATGGCATATAAATTGCTTGTTCAAGAAGAAAAACAAAGGCGAGCTAGTTTGGTCGATGAAGAATCAAGTAGCAGATCTATGGCTTTTGCTGCAGAAATTATTCTCAGGGGCCTAGAATGACTTTTCAGTCTAATGGCAACAAACTGGTAGTAGCAGGCAAGAGAATTTTCTGTGATCATTGCAGATTTCCAGGACATACTATTGATAGATGTTACAAGTTGCATGGTTATCCACCTAATTTTGCAAAGAATAAAGGGAAGAAAGTGGCAGTTGTGGTTCACATGGATGATGATGCAAATGAGCAAGAAGAGCATGTTACACATATTTCTTCTGACCAGTTCAATAATATTCTCAAAGCTTTGCAATCTCAGGAGTTGGATGTACCTACAGAGTCTCAGGCTCATGTTGCAGGTACTTGTCTCTTAACTTGCTCAAATGAAAAATGGATTGTTGATTCTGGTGCTACAGATCATATTTGTTCTAGTCTGGATTTATTTGACAGTTATAAGGTGTTTGATAAGGTTCCTAATACCATAACAGTAGTTGATGGTAAGCATGTTCTGGTTGAGCACATAAAGACTGTTATGTTTGACAATGGAATAGTGTTGCAAAATGTGTTACATGTTCCAGGGCTGAAGTTTAATCTAATTTCTACTCATAGATTATGTAGAGATTTGGATTGTGAGATTTTTTTTTACTCATGATAAGTGCTTAATTCAGGGGCCAACTTTGAGTCAATTTGTGGTTCTTGGTAAACTGGTGTCTGGAATGTATGCTGTTGATGATAAGAGTGTAACAACTCAAGTTCAGGAACAATCTCAGGAAGTAGCAGTAGCTGATGCTGGAATTAATAACAAGCTTGAGGATGCTAAACTTTGGCATCTTAGAATGGGACATATGCCTTTTAACAAGTTGCACTTAATTGTATCTGATTTTGATGAAAAAATAGGAAAGGAGACATTATGTCAAGTGTGTCATAAAGCTAGGCAAACCAGGAAACCTTTCCCTGATAGTTTCATTAAGTCAAATAAGTGTTTTGATTTGTTGCATATAGACACATGGGGACCTTACAAAACTAAAACGCATGATGGGTTTAGTTATTTCCTCACTATTGTAGATGATTACTCCAGGAATACTTGGACCTTTCTTATGAGAAATAAAAGTGATGCAGTGAATATTTTTACAAATTTGCTTGCATTTATCAAAACTCAGTACAATAGTAATGTTTTGTCTGTGAGAACTGATAATGCAAAGGAGTTGTGTGAAGGTGATATACTGCTTGTTTACAGAAGATGTGGCATTAAACATCAAAAGTCTTGTGTTGACACTCCACAACAAAATGGAGTTGTGGAGAGAAAACACAGACATTTACTGGAAACTGCAAGAGCTTTGTATTTCCAGTCAAGGGTTCTAGAGAAATTTTGGGGAGAGTGTTTGTTAACAGCAACTCATGTGATTAATAGGATGCCATTGAGTTCTGTGCAGTTTGCTTCACAATATGAGCTGTTGAATGGAAAGAAACCTGATTTGAGTCATCTAAAGGTGTTTGGGAGTCTGTGCTATGTATCTACTTTGAAAATGGGTAGAACAAAGTTTGATTCAAGGGCTACACCTTGTGTTCTGCTGGGATATCCACCAGATCAAAAAGCTTATAGAGTTTTTGATTTGGGATCCAAGAAAGTGATAATTTCCAGGGATATCACATTCTATGAGAAACATTTACCCTATCATTATGAAACACACAACCAAAATACAAAATATCCAATTTTCTTACCTATTCATACCCCTTTTGATCCAGATACAGAATACACAATCCCTGAACCATTTCAGCTTGAAACTGATAATACCCACCTTGAACCAAATATTTCTACAAATATACCCCAAACTATACCCATATCTATTTCCCAACCACAACCAGAACCAAATCAACCTGAATCACAACAACTAGAAATTTGTCTTGTTCCTGTGATTCAGTCTGCTGATTTGAGACAGTTAGACAGGCCAAGGAAAAGACCTAGCTACCTGGACAGTTATATATGTGCTGCAGAATCAGTCAGCAATCATTGGTGTAATATTGTTCAGTTTGATGTGCTTCCTTCTCCTATTAAAGTTTTGATAAATAAAACAGCTGTGATCTCAGAACCAACAAGCTATTTAGAGGCTTCTCCGAATGAAGGGTGGGTTACAGCTATGAAGAAAGAGTTAGATGCCTTGGTTCAAAATGAGACTTGGGAGCCGGTGCCTTTACCTAAGGGTAAGAAACCCATAGGGTGTAAGTGGGTGTATAAGGTGAAGTTAAAAGCTGATGGGAGTATAGAAAGATTGAAAGCCAGGTTGGTAGCTCAGGGTTTCACACAGAGGTATGGAGTAGATTACTTTGAGACTTTTTCACCAGTGGTTAAGATGGCCACTGTGAGATGTTTACTTGCAATTGCAGCAAGCAGAAAGTGGAATTTGTATCAGATGGACATTAATAATGCTTTCTTGCATGGAGAGCTTATTGAAGAGGTTTATATGAGGGTACCCCAAGGTGTTGCAAATCCAGATAACTTGGTTTGTTGACTAAAAAAGTCACTCTATGGGTTAAAGCAAGCTTCAAGACAGTGGTTTGCTAAGTTGAACTCAGAATTGCAGAAGATGGGTTATGAACAATCAAAGAATGATTATTCATTATTCATTAAAAGGACAAATGGTTTGCTCACTATTGCAGTGGTGTATGTAGATGATATAATAGTCACTGGTTCAAATGAAGAAAAAATCAGTAGGTTCAAAGAGCACTTGCATTCTGTTTTCAATATCAAAGATCTAGGGGTGCTGAACTATTTTCTGGGGATTGAGGTCAGTCATTTACAAGCTGGCATAGTGATAACACAGAAGAAATTTACAAAAGAGCTTTTGTTAGACTGTAATTTGGATGTTTCAAGGATTGCAAAGACTCCATTGCCTGCAAATTTGAAGTTATTGGCATATGAAGGTGAATTGCATTCAGATCCTGAGCATTATAGAAAAATTGTTGGAAAGTTGAATTTCCTTTCTCATACAAGACCTGATTTGGCTTTCTCTGTTCAGACCCTAAGTCAGTTTATGCAACAGCCAAGATTGTATCATGTGAAGGCCTTGCAACATGTGTTAAGATATGTTTCTCATACTTTGGGTCAAGGTATTATCCTATATGCTACTGATCAGTTATCCTTGATAGCATATTCAGATTCAAATTGGGCATCTTGTCCTAATACTAGAAGATCAGTAACAGGTTATGTTCTGCTCTTGGGGATATCACCAATTTCATGGAAGTCAAAGAAACAGCCTACTATCTCCAAGAGTTCTAGTGAAGCTGAGTACAGGGCTATGGCAGCTGCATCTTCAGAGACAACTTGGTTAATCAGACTGCTTACTAAATTGTGTGTTCTGAATTTGAAGCCAGTAGCATTACACTGTGATAATCAAAGTGCTATACACATTGGGAAGAACCATGTGTTTCATGAACGCACTAAACATATAGAGTTGGATTGTCATTTCACCAGAGAAAAGGTGCTGGAGGGTCTAATTGTGCTGACTTACACTCCCGCAGCAGAGCAGCATGCTGACATTATGACTAAGGCTTTGAGTTCCTTCCAGCATAATAAGCTTAAATCCAAGCTAGGAATGTATTCTGATGTTGATACAGTTCCTAGCTTGCGAGGGGATGTTAGTGATGACACAGCAGAGTGTGCCACGTCAGATGATGAGTATGCAGAAGGTTTTTAGAAGAATTCTGTTATAACAGAATCCTAGCTGATGTAATAATTAGTTAAGAAAAGGTTGTTATAACAACTTGTACTATATATAGCTGTACTTACTCTACATCTCATTATTTTCTTGATCAATAAGATTTCCCTCTTCTTCTCTCTAAATTCTCTCTCAATTAGACTTAGCCTTATTGTTCTTCACTGTATTTCAATAGGTCTTAAGGGTGCAATAGCCATGTAAGAGCTTCTCCAATGACAAGCTATAATGCCATTGTAGCTTACTTTTCCACATCAATTTTTAAGCTACAATACTTATTAATAACAAAGTGTTCCAATGGTAAGCTACAAGGCCTACAACATCTTGTAGTTTGGAAAAAAAAAAATTAATTTATATTGCAAGAAAGTCCTCACAATTGAACCATTGGAGATGCTCTAACAACACAAGCAGCATTTTAATTTAAATGATGTTTGGGACTTGTAAGTTGTAACTGTTATTTTAGATGAGCTACTACAAGAGGGGGGTGAATGGTAGTAGGTTCCAATCGCGGAACTTATGTGGAAATTAAAAACAAAACGTAAAGGAACTTAAAGCACACAGCAAGTTTTACGAGGAAACCATCCAGTGCCTAACTGGAAGTAAAACCTCGGCCCTATTGGGACTTATAAACAAATTCCACTATAATAGGCAACTCTCCTAGTACAACCTATTACACAGACCTTTGCTTTGCAAGTTCCACCACGGACACTTGACTCTATGATAGGACACTTCCTACCAGACCAAAGACACTTCTCAGGACCCTTTTTCTCCCTTTACCCAGGAAACTTCCTAGGTGACCCAAGACACTTCTCAGGTTCCTTTCACTCACTATGCACTCACAGCTACCACTCGAATTTTACCAGATTTCAAACTCATACATAAGCGTGAATTTAAGAGAATTCACAATCTCACCCCAAAATACAAAACACTCAAAACCCTTTTTCCCATTACAAGATCTCATCGAATATCCCTAAATACATATCTATGAATAAAGAGATAAAACTAATATGTTGAACACTCAAGATCTGTCTGGAACTCACTAGACGTACTGTAACCAAAAACCTGATAGGAACTTTGACCAGGAGGACTGACTTAGCTTTGTGGTGAAGGATAAAACCATTAAGCACGACCACTACACTTCGTCAGCCTCAACTTTGAATGAATACATATGAGCATATTTATAGTACACTCGAAATATTCATTTCATCTTGAAAAAGATAGATTTTCTGAAAAGATAAGTTTAAAAGATATATTCTAAAAATCAGTTTTCCGAAAATATATCTTTTTGTTAAGAATAAAAACTGTCAATAATAATAAGATAAACTTAGCATAAAATCAGACTTTATTCAAAACTTATCTTTTTGTTTAAAATACTTTTTAAACAATCTTATCTTTTTCCAAAAGGGATTAATTAGAAGATAAATATCTTTATTCAGTAAAACCAAATCCCTAAAAGATATGCACGTATAAGGTAAATATATATATCATTAAAACCGACCTTTAACGACGTGCATACTTAAGTTCCTATTAGGTTCCTAAACTCTGACAGTCTTCGAGTTCCTGACAAGTCAGTTACTCTAATTTCATTGATTGTTTGGAGTCCACCTTGGTTCTATATAGACTTGTTCCAGACCGAATTTTATGTCCAACATACTTACATGAATCCTAGAGCAATATACTTCTATTTCTCTGTCTTCATGTTGCTTCTCTGAAACTCTTGTTCTGGAATCCTGTAGTCTTGATATATTCTTGATCTTAGGGTTTGCCCCATCATTACACCGGAACCAGGTCGTTACAACCCGTTTCGAAGTTCCTGTTAAGAAACTTCTGGAAGTTCCATTTCTGGAACTCTTCTTCTAACTTTACTTGTATCCTCATGGATCCTCTAAAGTTCCTCTGTTTCAGTTCCTACTTCAGCCCTCAACGCTTACTGAACCTGCAAACATCACAACACTAGAAAATCCTTATTAAATGGAAGTTTGCTCAATTCTTAACATCATCATCAAAACCTCATAAGGGTCAATAAGTTGCCCCTTTTTAATGATGAAAAACTGAGCAAACTTCTGAGGATAACAAATTAACTCAGAAGGTTAGTTTTTTCATTTATGAAAACAGTAAAGAAAACCAAACTAAATTAAAATACTCTTACACATACATGACCTATATATGTATAGGATACTTACCTTATGAATCTAACATATGCAAACACATGTTTACATAGTTACCTTCATGGTTCCTTAGCCATCATCATGCTTATCAACCATAACACTTATCGTTGTTCTTGTTCCTCTATTGCTTATCCTATATTGCTCAAGTTCCTTACATATATACCTGTCATTACTCAGGTTCCTTGTATCCTGTTCCAAGCGTAACTTTCTCTTTCTATGCACAACTTAACATACACGTTAGATAGATAATCATCATTAGTTTATAATCATCAAAACCTAATTGCTCAACAGTAACTGCTAGGGAATTTTGTCTAGAAGTATTCTAAAGATACGGTTATTTGTGAACAACTACCCTTTTTAAAAAAAATTGTTTAGAACTACTCGAAAGTTATAAAACGTTTAAGTAGCACTACTCAGTAACATTTCCCGTCCAATTAAGACTTTACTGACCCACTTTTTCACTTTTTCCACCTAAAACCTTAAGTTACTTTTTTGCTAATTCTGAGCTCAATTCAGATCCTTAAGGGCTAATATGGCCCCTAATACCTTAATCGAATATATTTTGACATGCAAACCGATGAAAAAATTGAATTGAGTTGCAATTTGCAATTTATAAGAACTTTTGGGATGCAATTTGTAATTTTTCTTTTTAAATGGCTGCAATTTACAAAATACAAACTTTGGAGCATAATCCGATTGATTGAACTTATTGGAGTTGAACTAAATTGAACAAAATATTTTATGAGAGAAAAAATTAAGAACTGAACTGAACTTATTGAGCTAAACTAAACTGAACTGAACTGAACTGAAAATAATCTGAAGATAACAGGCCCTGAATGGCTGCAATTGGAAATTGTTCTATTTAAAAAGATAAGTTTTAACTATAAAAACTCGTGTATATATGATACTCGGAAATTATTGGTTTGTTTTGTTGTATATAATACTTTTTAAAATTTGTAGTAACCCTGGACCGAGTAACTCGAGTAATCCTAGCCACACAGAATAAAAATTTGTGTCGTAGAAGTGGGTTCTTCATTTTGTTTTAGAAAATAATGTTGAAAGCTTCTTTTGGATTTTTTTTTTCTTTTTTAATTTTCATAACATGAGTATTATTTCTATATGGATCTTGCTAATAAGCGTTCTGAGGCGTTAAATAAGAAATTAATATATTATTTAAAGTAGTATTAAATTTAGAAAATATACATGACCAAATTACGCATTAATCGGTGTAATTAACATGGAATATTGCTAATGCATGCATGATGATGGAAGTTGTTCGATCAGGTAGAGTTACAAATAGAATAAATTAGCGCAGACATTTTTTTTCTGATAAATAACAACTAACTTTATTATAACTTTTAATCCAATATACGTTGTACTTTGACAAAAATAGAAAGGCACCGCCTGCAGGAAGCTGGTGGAAGCATAAAAGTTTGGCAGTGTCACCGCGCTCACAATTGCATTACTTTCATTTTCGGTAAGGAAGTCTGCTAGCCTCCACCTAGGAATAGCAACGGATCGGATTCGGGTCGGATAGAGCTCCACCCGCATCCACCCGAATTAATCATCCGCTCCACCCGATCCACCCGTCACCCGCAAAACCCATCACCCGCATCCGATCCATCCGTCATCCGCGGATGAAGTGGGTGGATCGGATGCTTAACGGGTGATAATTATAATCCTACTCTAACTATAAAATCTAATACGTTAGAATAAAAAAATAAAAAAAAAGTTTTTAGCCAATTTTAAACTTAAAAAGTAAACCATTAATTAAATTTTTATTCCAAACTATAGCAATAAAAATAATCATGAACTTACTTTTTTTTTAACGGAATCATGAACTTATTTCGGTACTACATAATTAGGAATTGAGGGAGGTTTTATATTTTTTAAAATAAAACTAAAGAATTTTTAGAATTTTTTTTTTTTTTAGAAATATACAGTACATACATAGTGTAGTATACTAGCATATAAGAAAATTGGGATTATATATATATATATATATATATATATATATATATATATATATATATATATACGGATGGACTGGGGATCGGGTGATAAACGGATGACGGATCGGGTGACGGATGAAAGGAGCCCCACCCGAATCCGACCCGATCCGTCACCCGCTTCATCCGTCACCCGCCCTTCATCCATTTAATGCGGATTTTCGTCCATTTATTTATTTCGGGTGGATCGGATTTGCGGATATCCATTTAGAATTGTCATCCCTAATCCCACCAACTCTATCCCTATTTCAGTATATAAAGAGGTTTACTTTATGTATGACTATCAAAAGCTGACACGACATGATAATCCTATATGAACCCGATACGAAATAAACGAGAACCCCTTTAAATATAGGGATGATACAAACCCAACACGAAATTAAACGGGTTAGGTTTGGATTGAAATTTTCAACCCGAAACTAACACGCAAAACCCAATTATATTAATGGGTTGAACGTCAACCTGTTAACTAGAGCCCGACATGCTTAACTTGTCTATTTAATTAGTTAAGATAATTGATATTTTTATGTCAATCTTACTAACGTTCCTAACTACATAATCTATCTATTAACTTATACTAAAAGCGAAAAATCAATGACAATTGTTATTATCCTGTGAAAATTTTTCGCGCCTTTTTCATATATATATCCAAATTAAATATTTCTAAATATCTTTTATATACTTTATATTTTGTAATATTATTGTCGAAAATATTTAACAACCATGTATTGCACGGAATTTTAACCTGTTGTAGTATGTATATTTTAGTAAAAACTTTTAGTGGGCAAAATTTTTGGTTTAGGAA